AAAAGAGACTTGTACACCAATGTTCATTGAAGCACTATTCACAATAGCCAAAAGGTGGAAACAACCTAAATGTCCATCAGCAGATAAGAGGATACAAAATGTGGTATATACATACTATGGAATACTACCCAGGCAGTAGGAGAAATGAAGTCTTGATATATGCTACAACATAGATAGAACTTGAAGACATTATGCTGACTGAAATAAGTCAATCACAAAATGGCAAATATTGTATGACCTCATTTATATATTAAAAAAAAAACAAAAGAAAAGGCAAACGTATAGAGACCAAAGTTTATTAGTGGTTACCAGGGGCAGGAGGGAGTGGGAAAAAGGGGGTTAAGAGTGATGGAAAAATCACATTGATTAAGAGTACGGCTGGTACAGCTGATTATTGTAATTGCTGTCAGTAAGTTGCACACCTGTAAAAAGCTGAATTGGCAAAAGTTGTGTGATATATTTACAACAAAAAAAAAAAAAAAAAAAAGAGTAGCTGCTGAGGCTGCTTATGTACAACCAAACACCTCATGGGATTTGGTTCCTTGGCTTGGAGGTTTAGGGTCATGGTTTCATGGGACATCCCAGTTAATTGGCCTAATGATGTATTTAGTGCTTCTGTTCTGCCTCCTAGTTCTCTGTGTAGTGCCTGAGGTCTTAAAAGCTTACAAGCGGCCATTCAAGGCACAACAATTGGTCTGTATTTGCTTGGAGCAACAGAGGAAGAAGGAGAGTCAAGAATAGGAGGAGAACGTGGAATGTGTGGCTAATTGCCTCCATGAACAACTACGTCCTTTGCCATGAGACCAGAAGAACTGGATGGTGACTGGCTAACATTACTTAATATTTTTATCAAAGATTCCATAGAAGAATCCTGATCAAAAGGGGGAAAATACAGAACAGAATTTCAAATTCTCACAGACTCTAGACTTTCTGGAGCCATGTAGGTTGGATGAACCCCCAAAACTATTGCCCTGAGATAATCTTGAAACCTTAAATCAAAAATATCTCCCAAAGTCATCTTAAAACAGAACAATAGTTTAGCTTAACTAGTAAATAACATTGACTTTGAGCATTATGCTCTTTTAAGAACTATCTATATGGAATCAAACTGACAACAGCAACTCAAAAGATTAGATGGGAAACTTAGTGGGCAGTGAGTTTATGTTAATGAGGAAGGAACAACTCAGAAATCGAGGGTGAGAATGGTCACACAACTCTAAGAATGTAATCCATGTCACTAAATTGTACAAGTAGAAACTGTTGAATTGGTGTATGTTTTGCTATGTGTATTCTCAACAAAAACAAAATCAATAAAATTTAGGGAAAAAAAATTTTAAAGAGCCACTTCACACCCACTAGGATGGCCATAATAAAAAATTAAACAAACAAAACAAGTAAAAGAACAAATTTTGGTGAGGATGTGGAGAGTTGGAACCCACCTACATTGCTGGTGGGAATGTAAAATAGTTCAGCTGTTGTGGAAAACAATTTGGTGGTTCCTCAAATGGTTAAACACAGTGTTACTGTATGTTCCAGCAGTTCTACTCTTAGATATATATCCAAGAGAAATGAAAACATATGTCTAAACAAATACTTGTATATGAATGTTTATAGCAAATGTCCATCAGTGTATGAATGGATAAACAAACTGTGGTATATATGTACAATGGGATATTATTCAGCCATGAAAAGGAATGAAGTACTGATGCATGCTACAACATGGATGAACATCGAAAACATTATGCTAACTGAAAGAAGCCAGACAGCACAGTACACATACTGTATGATTCCACTTATATGAAATGTCCAGAATATGTATATCCATAGAGAAAGACAGCAGACTGGTGGTTGCCAGGGGCTGGGGAAAGGGAGGAAGAGGGATGATTGCTTAATGGATATGGGGCTTTATTTTGGGGTAATGAAAATGTTTTGGAACCAGATAGAGGTGGTATTTGCACAGCATTGTGAATGTACTAACTGCCACTGAACTGTTCACTTTAAAATGGTTATTTTATGGTTAGGTGAATTTCACCTCAAAAAATGTAAAGAAAAAACTTTAAATCCTTATTTCTGGCTCTTCCTGAAAAATCAGAAGACCTGGCAACACTGGGATGGCATTCTAACAGCACAACATTTGACAAAAGCTGAGTAGCAACTTCCCTGTTTAGATGGGGAAGTGCTATCCAGTTTACCATGGTCCCCACCACTCTGTGTTGTCCCCATCAGAGAGTCAGTTATAGTCCTGTCATCCTTGCATTGTTGTTTTCCTCATATTAAAGAAGAAAATGAAAGACTTTTTATATCCATATCTTCATCAAGAGTGGGAAAACATTATCTTAGGTGAAGGGAAGGACAACATACACTACAGGGGAAGTCGGCACAACTGGACTAAACTGAAAGCTAAGAAGTTTCCTGAACACAACAAAACACTTCAAGGGACAGAGTAGCAGGGGTGGGGGTCTGGGGACCATGCTTTCAGGGACATCTAAGTCAACTGGCATAACAAAGTTTATTAAGAATATGTTCTGCATCCTACTTTGGTGAGTGGCGTCTGGGGTCTTAAAAGCTAGCAAGCGGCCATCTAAGATGCATCAATTGGTCCCAACCCAACTGGAGTGAAGGACAACGAAGAACACCAAAGACACAAGGAAAGTATTAGCCCAAGAGACAGAATGGGCCACATAAACCAGAGACTTCATCAGCCTGAGACCAGAAGAACTAGATGGTGCCCGGCTACCACCAATGAACATCCTGACAGGGAACACAACAGAGGGTCTTTGATGGAGCAGGAGAAAGATGGGGTGCAGGACTCAAATTCCAGTAAGAAGACCAGACTTAATGGTCTCACTGAGACTGGAGGCACCCCAGAAAACATGGCCCCTGGACTTTCTATCACCCCAGAACTATAAAAATTTCTGAGGCCAACTCTTCAGACAGGGATTAGACTGGACTGTGGGGCATAAAGTGATACTTGTGAAGGATGTGCCTCTTAGTCAAGTAGATACATGAGACTAAATAGGCAGCTCCTGTCCAGAAGCAAGATGAAAAGGCAGAGAGGGTCAGGAGCTGGTTGAATGGATGCAGGAAATCTGAGGCGGAAAGGAGGAGTGTGCTGTCACAGTATAGGGAGAGTAACTAGGGTCACATAACAATGTATGTATAAATTTTTGTATGAGAGACTAACTTGAATTGTAAACTTACACTTAAAGCACCAAAAAAAAAAAAAAAACTTGGGAAAACGTTAGATAAATCAAGAGGACCACAGGTCTTAAGAGGAACTTAAAAGGTTAGATAGGAAACTCAGGGGGCAGCGAGTTTATATTAATGGCAGGGGGACAACTTGGAAAAGAAGGGTGAGAATAGTTGCACAACTTGAAGAATGTAATCAGTGTCACTGAATTGTACATGCAGAAATTGTTGACTTGGTGTATGTTCTGTTGTGTATACTCTCAACAACAACAAAAATAAATTATTTTAAAAAAAGAGAGAGAACCACCAGTCTTAAGAGAAAATATTTCTTAAATTGGCCAGCTTCATTCATTTCTTTTCCCTTCCTGGACCCTAAAGTCTTCCATTCCTACAAACAGAATGTGGACAATGAGGTAACAAGAAGGAGTCTGTCCAAGGAAAATGTTGGCTGACCTTGGTTCCCTGGTGTGAAATGCTAACATTTGTGACACTTGAATATACTTGTAGGATGCAAATATTAATTTATTTATGGCTATTAATGACTAGTCAACAGATGATTCAGTTCTTTAAAAAAAATTTTTTTTGTGGTCTATATACAAAAAAACGTTGCCAATTCAACCATTTTTACACCTACAATTCAGCAACATTAATTATGTTCACCATATTGTGCAACCATCACCACTATCCATTCTCAAATTTTTTCAACACCCTTAACATAAACTCAGTACCCCTTAAGAAATATCTCCCCATTCCCCCACCCCCCACCTACCTCTGATAACCACGAATAAACTTTTGTCCTATTCATTTGCCTATTCTAGATATTTCATATAAGTGGGATCATAGAATATTTGTACTTTTGTGTCTGACTTATTCCACTTAGCATAATGTTTTCAAGGTTCATCTGTGTTGTAAGCATGTGTTATAGCTTCATTTCTCTTTATGGCTGAATAATACTTCATTGTAAGGATATACCGCATTTTGTTTATCCATTTATCTGTTGATCAACACTGGGTTGTTTCCACCATTTGGCTATTGTGAATAATGCTTCAATGAACGTTGGTGTGATGATGAATGGATTCTCAATCTCCCAAATCTAACTACACAAGTTTGCTAATCGTTACCTCCATGTGGACATGGGATGGATGATATTTAGTTATTAATTGGGACAAGGACACTAATGGATGCATTGGTACCACACTGATGGTTCATTCTGCCCTGCTGTGGATCCCCTGCAGTAGCAGGGGTCTGTCTAGGAGAGAGAATAGAAGCAATTGTGTCAACTCAGTGCTTTAGTGAGGGCAGAGGTGGTGGTGGTGCGGCCATGCTAATGGCCATTGGATAATGATTCAGGATTCTACTAGTTAGGGTTTAAAAGGCATCTGGACTCACAGGCATGCATGCAATCAACTCATCACACACTTCCACCCAAGAATTTCTTGTGACTTGTATATTGTCCCTGTTCTTCTCATATATTCATATTTTTATTGTGGTAGAAATATATAGAACAAAACATTTGTCAATTCAATGTTTACATGTACAATTCAGTGACGTTGATTATCTTCATCATGTTGTGCAATCATCACAATGATCTGTTTCCAAATTATTCCACCACCTTTAACAGAAAGTCAGTGTCCCCTAAGCAGCCTACATATTCATTTTAACCTGGTTTTACCTGGTAAACCCCACTGAGTATGGGTGGGGGAGAGAGAAAGCAAGCATGTAGCATGAGCTGTCCTGGCCCAGATCACCCTGGGCACAACTTAGAGGCAGGCAGGGAGGGAAGGAGAGGGACAATGTGCGGAAGGGCTTACCTCTGTCTCCGGGCTGTAGCAGTGGTAGTAGCCCCCAACAGCTTCTGCGAGGTTCTTTAGGACAGCCTGCAGGGATGGTGACAGGGTCAGCCCTCACCAGGGCAAGGCCAATACCCTAACAATCCTTCTTCTTGACAACCTCCCAACTATCCAATGCTTCCCATTTGACCAAAGGGAAAGCTAAGTGCAGGGAGAGGCAGAGGAGAGGAGGGAGATGCACGTACTGGTCCACAGCCTGGAGCCCTGTCCAGGAATGGAGTTTCAAAGGCTGGTTCAGCTCACAATCACCAAATCCAAGAAAAACCTTGGAGAATGTGGGGTACTCACCAGGGGCACCTGATTGTTGCATTTGTAAGTGATGGTATGGATGATGATGTCCCTTCCCATGGTGGACTGCTGGATGTAGTCAGACAGGATTTCAGAGGACTGATTTGGGCTGGGGAGAAGAGGAAGAAAAGGGGGACTTCAGGTCAAATCAGTCTGAGAACATTCCAGAGCAAAATGGTAATTCTCGGGGGGCAGCTGTCAAATCTGACCACCTTCGTCCCAGGCCACCGGTGTAAGATGTCAGGCCGAGTGGACCTCAGCCTAACCTGCCCTGGCCTCCCTGCCCCCAGGTGCTGCTTCCTCCCCAACGTCTGTGGACGGGCAGCCTGTGCAGGTGACCCTTTCCTTGAGCACGTGTGAAGAAGAGTCACGCTCGATGATCTTTTCTCACACAATGGATTGGTTCTTTGATCCCCTTCATGTAGTCTGTCATGACTAGGAAAGGAGACCTACCAGCTTCCCATTATGATCACCAGAGAATTCAGGCCTTTTATAGTGAAGATTTTCTTCAGGGCTTGTAGCACATTGGTGCCTCCTTCGGGCTGTAGTTTCTTCACCCAGTGCTTGAATTCCTGGAGGCTGAGAAGATAATAATGGAGACAACAACAGCAACCTAATCCATAGTCCTCTTTCTAGGTGCCAGGCCCGGTACAAATGCTGGATCATTGAAGCCTAGTAATAACTCTTGGAGGTGTGTACCACTATTCCGCTCTTGAGAGGAAGACCACCAGCTGTGTCTGAGTTTCTCATACTGTGGTAGCTTGCAAGTTGCTGTGATGCTGGAAGCTATGCCACTGGTATTTCAAATACCAGCAGGGTCACCAGTGGTGCACAGGTTTCAGCAGAGCTTCCAGACTAAGACAGATTAAGAAGAAAGTCCTGGTGATCTATTTCTGAAAATCAGCCAATGAAAACCCTATGGATCACAATAGTACTGTATCAGACTTTCTTGCTTTGGACATGTCATCAGGAGGGATTAATCACTAGAGAAGGACATCATGCTTGGTGAAGTAGAGAGTCAGCAAGGGTGAGGGAGACCTAAATGAGATGGACTGGCACAATAGCTGCAATGATTGACTTGAATATGCTGGTGACTGTGAAGATGACATAGGACTGGGCAACGTTTTACTCTGTTGTACATGGGGTTGCCGCGAATTGGAGTCAACTCGACGGCAGCTGGCAACAACAGAGACTAGGAAACTGAGTCTCAGAGTTGGTGACTTGCCCAAGGTCAGGTCTGACTGTAGAACCTAAGCTTCTAGCCACTCTGCTATTCGAGGGTCTAGGGCTAAATAACCCTACAAGGGCTCTAAGAGTCCGCGCTGTGCAGCTACCTCCCCAGTGGGATGCGATGCACCCCACTGGTGAGAGGGAAAATGACTTAACCTAGTGCTTTCTTTGTTCAGTTCATTGTGTGGTGCTAGTGAGAGAGTCCTGCTCTCTTCATGTCTCTTTCAGTGCGACAAAAAAGGAAATCTCAGCTTGGTGCTAATAAGTCTTTCTTTATTGTAACAGTCAAGTCTCTTTTTCAAAAAGAGAACAATGTAGTACCTAACACACGGCTGGTGATCAAGAATGTTCTTCCTTCATGGAAAAGAAATTTCTACTTACTGGTATAAGTAAGAAAGCTCTTGCAATCCTCCCTAAAAACTAGTTCCCAAATAAAAGATCAGTTAAACATGTTATAGTACATCGATGCAGTAGAATACTATGAGGCCGTTAAAAATAATGAGGTTGTTGTTGTAAGCTGCTGTCGAGTCGGCCCCTAACTTATGGTGACCCCATGCACAACAGAACAAAATGCTACCTGATCCTGTGCCATCCCCATGATGGGCTATGGATTGGACGGTTGTGATCCATAGGGTTTTCATTAGGTTTTTGGAAGTAGATCGCCAGGCCTTTCTTCCTAGTCCATCTTAGTCTGGAAGCTTCGCTGAACTTGTTCAGCAACACTTGAGCCTCTACTGACGGGTGGTGGCTGTGCATGAGGTGCAGTGGCCAGGAATCAAACCTAGGTCTTCCACATGGAAAACGAAATTCTACTACAGCATCACCACTGCTTCCTTAATAATGAGGTAGCTATGTATGTATCGATAGAGAATGATATTCAAGACCTAGTAGGTGAAAAAGCCAAGGTGCAGAACAGTGTTATGTGCCTCTGAGAGGTGAGATTGGGAGTCTGGGGTCAGAGGGTAACTCACTGGCCATTATTTATCCTTTTGTACCGCTTTGATTAAAAAAAAAAAAAAGAAAAGAAAAAACATGAGCATGTATTATTTTCATAATAAATAAAGCTGCCTTTGCTAGTTCGTTGAATAGAAATGGTGTCCTGTGGTTGTTTTGTCTTTCATTTTGTGGATCGTTCATGAGGATGTACATTTTTCCAAAAGTTGTTGGCTACCTGTGTTTCCCCTTTTGTGAATTGTCTCTTTGTACTCACTTACCTATTGGGATCCTGGGGTTTGCACTTTATTCATACAACAAAGACACTAACACTTAAGGAAGAAAATGAACAAATAAACATCCTTGCAGAGGCAGGATGGGCGGGGTAGCCACTCACATGGAGGCACTGACTTCCACGGGGTCTGGCCAGAGGGCCCTGGTGGTGGTGTCGAAGGAGAGGACATACAGCTTCTCCTTGTGGCTCAGCTGCTCATCAGTGAGGCTCTGCCGGACAAAAGGACAGCACTGCTCCCAGAGCCAGGGGGCAATGAGAAGCCTGGCTTCCCCTCTCTTGCCCTGGCTGGCTCCCAAGGGCTTGGGTGTGAGCTGTGCTGAAACAGGGCCGCCTGAAGCTAGGTTTAGCACCCCAAAGATGACATCTACTTCCCGCCCATTGTGTCTCCTAGCTAAGGACGCTAGCTGTTCATCCCAGCTTGTTCCATGACTGTGTGGCTGGTGGGAGTGGGACATGGGTCTTCCAACCACCCTGACTGTGCCCTCATTCACTTCCACCTTAGGGCTGCTACACCCTGGATCGTGGGGTGTGGGTGCAATGAGTCTTAGCTGCCCATCTCAGCATGCACTATGGCTGCACCCTCGGAACTTAACTGTGGCACCCAGGCAGGAAGGACAGAGGCCAGGGGCAGTGGTTTCTCTCCTAGGCATGTAATCTGGGGATGGAGTAATGGGGTGATGGGTGCGACAGCAGCCTGTTTAACACTCTCAAGCAGTAGCTGGTAAGTAGCCAACAGTAAAGATAACTCCTCCCTCTTCTTCCTGGCCACCTTGAAATTTCACCTGCATGCTACCAACACGAGTCTTGCCCTGGCTAATATTAGATCCATTGGTGGACTTTGACCTTGTCATGAAGGGGAACCTGTACTGACAAAGTCCTGTTCCCTGACACAGGCTGAGACCAGTGACAGGGGACAAGTCTGGGTGAGCAGTCCATGTTGAACCCTATGAAGGGTCCTTGAACAGGCTATTGCTGCTATGGTCCCCATGCAAAGCTCTAGGGGTTTCCATAAGAAAACAGCCCCTCCATGTTACTTCACAGAGACTACAGAGGTTTTCTGTGTGCCAGGCTTTGTGCTGGGCACTCTAGAGGACAGTGCCTAGTAGGTGCCATTTCCACTTTATAGAGGAGGTAGCTAAGGCACAGAGAGATTAGGTAACACGGTCGCATAGCCCAAAAGTGGTGGAGGTAACTGGGATTTGACTCCAGCATCTGACTCTAGAGTTCTTCGCTTCCCTGTTACAGACTCTGACAACGCGTGTCTTCTCCAGGGACACACCAAAGAAGCTAGAATAGCTCCTCCTTCTAGAAAAGGCCGGGAAGGCCTGTTCTACGGTATGCTGGAGTCAGTCTCCAACTGATTCCCGTCTTCACATCCTCTTTCCAGGGAACCACGGGCTCCTGAGGCACGTTCTAGTTGGTAGGTACCCCAATGGTGAGAATATTAGAAGTTCACACTGCAGCTGAAAATGATTCTGTGGTTGGGTTTCTCACAACTCAACACACTTCTCTAACTGTAGGCGTTAATTAAGTGTGAACTGTTCTTTATCAGACACATTTTGCATTTGCTATAATAACAAAGCTCTTTAGCGAGCTCACGAAGGTGAGGGGAGGGGTGGTTCCAGGTATTTCTCTGTGCCAGAGACTTACCATAAGGTCATTTTGAAACTCTTCTTTCTGAGGACCACTGCTGACCACTGACAAATCAATGAGAAGGCCGACTCTGGCCCCCTTGATGAGGCCAAATGCCTAAAACCAAACAGAGCATTCTGAAATAGCAAGCACAAACAACGTTGTGCTTCTCTTAAACCTTTCGCTAAGCAGGTCCAAGTGACAGTGCGAAAATTCTCACCTCAACAGGAAGAAGCAGATGGAAGTCCCATTTTATACAGGAAAAAGCAAAACCTGATATCCTGACTTTAGCTCTGGGCATTATCTGCTCCTAATTTGTGACAGTCTACTATTTAAAACTTTTTCTCCCCTAATATTTATCATCCATTCTTATAAAAGTAACACGTTCATTACAGAAAAGTTGGAAACTATAGAAAAGCATCCTTTGTTTGTAGGATATAAAGTTTGGTATCTAATTACATCAACTTATCTCATTTAATTTCTTTATATTCTTACTTATTGTCTGCCTGCTTTACCACTCAAAGGCAGATGTGCTATGCTCACTGGCAGCAATGGTATTTCTGTGAGTGTCTCATTACGCTTCTAACTGCCATTGGTTCCTATGTGCCAATGCTGTTTGATTTCACACAGAAGTTTTCATCCTGTTATAGCTACATCATGAGTTGGAACTTTCATTCATGTGAAACTGATAGTTCTCTCGGGGCAGTAGTTTCCATGTGATGCTTTTTGCCTTATATTTTACTTTAATGGACACCTAGTTTTCCTGTATAATTCTCTCTTGATTGAGAAACTAGAGAGGTTTTTCTCTATGCCAGACTTTGTACTGGGCACTTTACTGCTCGAACTCCTTTCATCCTATGGCAACAAATCTCAGAGATGACTATTTTATATCTTCTCGTCTCTTCTCATGCCTCCAACATTCCTTTCTGAACTGTCTCAGCAAACAATTTTGCCTCCAATCTCACTGAGCAACCAGAGGAGAATTTTTTTGTATCTTCCCACTGCAGAATCTACCAACCTCACTGCTGCTGCGTCTTTTCCCGGTTACATAGGATCAACTACCTAAGGCCAACTCTTTGACTTGTATAATGGATCCTATCCCTCTTGCCTAGCCAGGGACTTTGCTTCTGTAATCATCCTTTCTCCTGGATCATCAATTTCACTTTATCTATTGTATTATTTCCATCACCATACAAACAGGCTATAACATCAACCATCTTCAGAAAGAAATAAACCTTTCAAGACCCCACCTCTCTCTCCTGCTACCACCTTATTTCTCTACATCCTGTTATAGCAACACTTCCTTCTCTCCTACTTCCTCTGGTACCCACTCAAATTAGGCTCTCACATCACCACTCTTCTGAAACCACACTTGTCAAGGTGATAAATAACCAGGAGTCCCTCTTGACAAAGTCAATGATCAAATCTAAATTCTCAACTTTCTCGAACTTTGACAAGCATATGACACAGTTTGACTGTGATAAGAATTTGACAACTTGAGGGAGGGTGAGGGCTATTCACTAACTAGACAGTAGATAAGAATCATCTTAGGTGAATGGAAGGACAGCACATAATACAGGGGAAGCCAGCACAACTTGTACAAGGAAACATCATGGAAGCTCCATAGACACTTCCAAACTCCCTGAGGGACTGAATTGCTGGGCGGGGGTGTGGGGACCCTGCTTTCAGGGAACATCTGTGTCAATTGGCATAACAAAGCTTATTAAGAAAATGTTCTGCATCCTACTTTGGTGAGTGGCGTCTGGGGTCTTAAAAGCTAGCAAGCGGCCATCTAAGATGCATTGGTCCCAACCACTTGGAGTAAAGGAGAACGAAGAACACCAAAGACACAAGGAAAGTATTAGCCCAAGAGACAGAATGGGCCACATAAACCAGAGACTTCATCAGCCTGAGACCAGAAGAACTAGATGGTGCCCGGCTACCACCAATGAACATCCTGACAGGGAACACAACGGAGGGCCCTTGATGGAGCAGGAGAAAGGTGGGGTGCAGAACTCAAATACTAGTAAGAAGACCAGACTTAATGGTCTCACTGAGACTGGAGGCACCCCAGAAAACATGGCCCCTGGACTTTCTACCATCCCAGAACTGTAACAATTTCCAGGCCAACTCTTCAGACAGGGATTAGACTGGACTGTGGGGCATAAAGTGATACTTGTGAAGGATGTGCCTCTTAGTCAAGTAGATACAAGAGACCAAAGGGGCAGCTTCTGTCCAGAGGTGAGATGGGAAGGCAGAGAGAGTTAGGAGCTGGTTGAATATTCATGGGGAATCAGGGGCAGAGGGGAGGAGTGTGCTGTCGCAGAATGGGGTGAGCGATTGGGGTCTCATAACAATGTATGTAAAAAAAAAATTTTTCTGTATGGGAGACTAACTTGAAATGTAAACTTCATTTAATTACAACAATAAAAAAATAAAAATAAAAAAAAAGAATTTGACAACTTGAAACATTTAGTGCACTTGGCTTTCAGGATACCACGTTCTCCTGCTTTTGCTTCCTTCTCACTGGCCAGTCCTTCTTAATCTCCTTTGCTAGATAGACCTTCCTTCTCATTCCAAACTCTAAATATTGGAGTGCCCTAGGACCTTGCTGCTGAAGGTGTGGTCCATCAGCCTCACCTAGGAACTTGCTGGAAATGCAGAATCTTGGGTTCCACCCTAGACTTCCTTACCTAGAAGAGTGTGTATTTTAAACAAGACCACCAGGTGATTTGGCTGCATGCTACAGTTTGAGAAGCACTGGGCTAGGGCTCTATCTACCACTCTCTTCTTTATCTACAACAGGGCTTGTCAACTTCAGCACTATTGACATTGTGAACCAAGTATCTCTTTGTTGTGTGGGGCTGTCCTTTGCATTGTAGGACGTTTAGCAGCATCCTTGGCCTCTACCAACTATATGTCAGTAGCACCCCCACCCCCACTTGTGACGAAAATGCCTCCAGATATATTGGCAAGTGTTCCTTGATGGACAAAATCGTCCCTGGTTGAGAACAACTGTTCTGTACTCACTCCCTAAACGATCTCATGCAGTCTCATGGCTTTAAATACCATCTGTATGCTGATGATTATCCAAGTTTCAGCTCCAGGCAGAGATCTCTTTGAGTTCCAGACATGTACATCCAATCGCCTCCTCAATGTCTCTGTTTGGGTGTCTAATATGTCTCTCAGATTTTATATGTTAAAAAAAAACAAGACCTCTTAGTTTTCATCCTCAAGCCTGTTCCTCCCTCAGTCTTCCTCATCTCGTGGCATTAAGCATTCACCCAGGCACTCTGAGCAAAAAACTATCCAATACATCCAAACCTGAATCCAAGAATTTCTCATCCCATCATCCGAGCACACCATCATTCTCACCTCGTCTGGTCTTCCTGTTTCCACCTTTGCCCTCTACAGTCACTTTACACAACAGCCAGAGTGATCTTTTTTGAAATATAAATTGGAGCATGTCACACCCCTGCTTAAAACCCTCATCTTTGGAATAAAATCTAAACCCTGCAAGGCCCTCCTTGTTCTTAACCTGCCCAGCTCTCTAACCTCATCTCCTGCACATTCCATGTTGCTCACTCTGTGTATAACGTCCTGGCCTGCTTGCTGCTTCTGGAAAATGTCAAGCTTGTTCTTATCTCAGGGCCTTTGCATTTGCTGTTTACTCTGCATGGAACATTCTGGAATGCCTACATGGCTTATTCTCTCACTTCCTTTAGGTGTCTGCTCAAATTTCTCCTCCTCAGAGAAGGTTTCCTTGGTCCTTCTATCTAAATAGCTCTCTTCTATCCTACTCTCTATTCCCCTACCCTGCTTTATTTTTCTTTATGACACTATCACTAACTGACCTTGCATATTCATTGTTAATTTATTCATTGTCTGTCCTTCCCCAGTGAACTGTAAGCTCCATGAAGGCAGAACCTTTGTATTGGTCATATTTGTATCCCCAACCCTAGAACAGTACCTGATACGCAGTAATCACTCAGTAAATATTTGTTGAATTAATGACTCAAATGAAGCATGAAATTTCCTAGGACATTGACAATTCTCAGAGGCCAGGAGCTGTTCAAATTTAGGGTCAGTTCTATTCCTTCTAAATTAAAAAAAAAATTGCCATCAGAGCCTTTAACTGAAAACATGCTGTTGTTGGTAGGTGCCGTCTAGTCGGTTCTGACTCATAGCGACCTTTTAGGACAGAGTAGAACTGTCTCATAGGATTTCCAAGGAGCACCTAGTGGATTTGAACTGCTAACCTTATGGTTAGCAGCCATCGCTCTTAACCACTAGCACTGAAATTCTAGAAATGTATCCCACAGAAATAATTGAACAAGTACATTAGAGGGAATTTGAGCCCAGTGATGCCAGAGGAGCTGAAAGCAGACATAAAGGTGATACACTAGAATTTTTAAATGTTGGCAACTCATTTTTTTTTTTATTGTTGTAGTTTAAGTGAAAGTTTACAATTCAAGTCAGTCTCTCATGCAAAAATTTATACATACACTGTTATGTGACCCCAATTGCTCTCCCTATACTGTGACAGCACATTCCTCCTTTCCACCCCTGATTTCCCGGGTCCATTCAACCAGCTCCTAACCCTCTCTGCCTTCTCATCTCACCTCCGGACAGAAGCTGCCCATTTAGTCTCATGTATCTATCTACTTGAGCTAAGAAGCACACGCTTCACAAGTATCATTTTATGTCCCGTAGTCCAGTCCAATCTTTGTCTGAAGAGTTGGCCTCAGGAATTGTTTTAGTTCTGGGTTGACAGACAGTCCAGGGGCCATGCTTTCTGGGGTTCCTCCAGTCTCAGTCAGACCATTAAGTCTGGTCTTTTTACTAGAATTTGAGTTCTGTGCCCCACATTTCTCCTGCTCCATCAGGGACTCTCTGTTGTATTCCCTGTCAGGGCGGTCATTGGTGGTAGCTGGGCACCATCTGGCAACTCATTTTTAAAGAAAAATATGGCTGTGACCAGAATTGGCCCACATGCCACTAGTTCGTAATCCCTACAATAGATGATTTGCATTTGATCACAATTCTACCCTTGGGGTGAGAGAAAAATGATTAATCAAATTTTCAAGGAAAGTTATGTCCAGATGATCAATTTTAGTCTTATAAATCAGATGTACAGACAGAAACCCAGAGCAGTGAGACCTCTTGCCCATGGCCTTACTGACAGAGCAGTCTGGAACTCAGTCCAGTGATGGCCTATCCATCGCTCAAGCTGCCTCAGCATCCAGGGGTCTGATGATTTAATTATGGGTGATCTCTTCCCTGGGCTCTGATTTCGGCTTGTTTCATGGTTCATCTGTATTTCCATCAGAAAGGGTGAGGGGAGGGAGAGGAAGAATCTATCGATCCCTGCCCACAGTACGATGGGGATGGGTAGGTGAAAGCAACATTCCCTGAATGGATGTTTTCCAGGTATCTGAGGATTCCATCCCTGTGGGTTCTTCTAAGGAGCCCTGGTGGCACAGTGGTTAAGTGCTTGGCTTCTAACTGAAATGTTGGCAGTTGGAACCCACCAGCCGCCCTGAGGGAGAAAGATGTGGCAGTCTGCTTCTGTAAAGATTACAGGCTTGGAAACCCTATGGAGCAGCTCTTCTCTGTCCTATAGGGTCACTAAGAGGCAGAAATGACTCTACTGCAATGGGTTAATGGGTGGAGTTCTCTCTGCCTGTGTTACCATGTGAAACCAGAGGGGGGCGTGCCATAGCTGGAGACATGTGTCTGCTGGCCAGTCTAAGAAAGCAAAGGAGGTTCTGGATCTGAGATGTAGACTATACCCCGGAATTGGTCAGGACAGGCAGCCTCAGTACTATGATGTCACCTACTGGTCTTGTGTAGAAGTGGGAGATGGGAGTGGGGAGCATGAATTTCAGCATCTGCCTGTCCCAGGGTTTAAAACAAGAGTTGAGGATAACCCAAGGGTGAAAGCTGATGGTGAGCCAGAAGAGTATCAGTTGGAGGAAAATAAGTTACAGCAATAAAAAAGCAAATCAAAGGTTAATTTGCCCATGATCACTATTCTACTCTTAGGGTCTGAGGAAAATGTTTAATCAAACTTTCAGAAAAAGTTATGTTCAGAAGATGAAACTTAGCCTTACATATCTCATTATGGTTCTGAGATTAAATGGTCTAGTGGACATCTGCTGTTTTCACCTGTCTAGGATCCATTTCCCCTTTTCAGTAACAACACTCTGGCTTTCATGTGTAACCATCTGTCTCCCTTTCCCAGTCCATGAGGTTTAGGTGGGGTTTACCCAGTCTCCCCCTACTTCTCCCATCCCTGCTTTTCCCATGGTGAGTACTAGCTCCAGGCCTAGCCAGTTAGTATATCTCCTCCCCTTGGCTGTGGTGACTGGTGTAAATTGGCCAATAAGAGTCAATCTCAAGGCCTGGATGGATGTTCTGGGACAGAGAAGTAAGGTCCCTTTCCACTGGAGTTATCTAACTGGTGACAAGTAAGCCTAGAGCAGCTGGTGACCATCCTCCCAAGCCTGAGGACAGACTTCCTGAGAATAAAACCAAACCAGAGGAAACAGAACCCAGAGACAAGGAGAAATGATGACATCATTTGAGCATCTGGATACAGTTATGCCTGGGCTTTTCATTCACGAAGGTCAGAAATTCCTTTTTTAGGTTAAACCAATTTAAGCTGGGGTCTATCACTTGCAATGGAAAGAGTTCTAAATAATACTGATGGAATGAGTGAAAGAACAAAATCCATGTTTGTTACCTTCTTGCTGTTTTCAGTGAGCCACTGAATTCTCTGTTGATAGAGTTCGATAGCTCTGCCAAAACATCAGATATACTCATCACCCTAGGTCAGCTTCATCAGTGAGCAACAGTCACTTACCGTACATGGAAGCAAGGTGTGGATGGCATTTTTTTTAAATGTTTCTAAAGCACTGGGGAGAATATAAGGCAAATCTAGCAAAGATAAAATGAGTGTTAGTTTGCGAGGGCACCAGGTAAAAGACCAAGGGAATTGTGAAAGGGATCAAGTGTGTAGATGCTGCTATTCTGGTGATGCAGTCAACGTACATTATTAATGACTATGGTTTGGTGGGACGAGGGGTGGGCCGCTGAGTGAGGGTAGGTCTGCGGAGGATGGGGGAGTGCTTTCTCATGTGGAAGGTGGAAGAACACTCTTCACTTGCTCACATCTGTGTCTCCTCAGATAAGACTATTCCCAGTCTCCTGGAAACTGGTCTTAAAGATATAGTTGAGGCATTTCAGCAGCAGTTTCTCAGTGGAATGATTAACAAAAAATTAGTTTCTGAAAAGTAGCCACGGGAACTTTTTTTTTTTTAAATTCTTTTTAAAAATTTTTTTACTTATTTTGTTGTTGTTGTCGAGAATATACACAGCAAAACATACATCAATTCAACAATTTCTACATGTACAATTCAGTGACATTGATTACATTCTTCGAGTTGTGCAACCATTCTCACCCTCCTTCTCTGAGTTGCTCTTCCTCCATTAACATAAACTCACTGCCCCATAAGGCTCCTACCTAATCTTCTGAGTTGCTGTTGTCAATTTGATCCCATATAGGTAGTTCTTAAAAGAGCACAATGCTCAAGGCAGACATTCTTTACTAGTTAAGCTAAACTCCTGTTTGGTTTTAAGACTTCAGGGGATATTTTTGGTTTAAGGTAGCCAGGGGAACTTCTTGAATTTCCCTTCTTGCAAACCACTCCAATGGCTAGTTGGAGACTAGCTCAAGGTAACAGGTGCTCAAGGTAAGGACTTGGTCACTTGAATTTAATTGAATCAGTCTCACTGAGGGCAGGTAGGATTTGGGGACCTAGAGAGGGGCAAGGAAGGCCTTTGGATATGAAATCATGGTAGTGGTGATGGGTAGAGTTATAAGGGATACATGTGGATGAATAGAGCTAAGAGTATGAGCTTTGTAATGAGATATGCTTGTGTTTGAAATCCAGCTATGCCATTTATGAGCTGTGTGTCCTTGGACAAATGTGGTAAGCTCTCTGAGCCCCAGTTTCATCATCTCCAACATGAAGATAATAATAGGATTCCAAATCAATTTACCAAAAATCAATTTACTGAAAGCCAATTCTCTGAAAATCAATTTTTTCAAATGACCAATTAACAGAATAGACTTGAACATTCTGCTCTGGAATCAAAAGGACCACTAATCAACCAAAACTTTGCAGAAATCTTTAAAACTGGTTAAACTGTCCAACCCAATAAAAATTGCTGTAAAATTTATTGTTCAAATGTTTTCATAAATTTGGCGAGTTGGTCATTCGGTGAATGGTTATTTAGCAATTGACTTGGCGAACTGGCCTGAAAATAATACTTCAAGTTGTTGTGAGGATTAAAAAAGATAATGCATACAACCTTTAGCAGAATTCCTGACACAGTAGTAAATGTTAGCTATGGAGTCCCTGGGTGGTACAAATGGTTAACATACTCGGCTGATAACTGAAAGGTTAGAAGTTCAAGTCTACCCAGAGGTGCCTTGGAAGGAAGTCCTGCTGATCTACTTCTGAAAAATCAACCACTGAAAACCCTATGGAGCACAGTTCTACTCTGACACACATGGGGTTGCCATGAGTCGGAGTTAACTTGATGGCAGCTAGTTTATTAGTTTATTTACTATTATTATAACCTTTTAAGAAGGCTCAGACAAACAGCAATGGTGGAATCATAGATTACTAGAGCTGGAATGGAATCTGACAGACTGTGCTGTTCACTGGTCATCAAGAGGTGTGTTGCTGTGTTTGTATGTAGGTGTGTATATATTTTCTTGTAGACATGTGCCATCAAAATCAGGTTTGGGAGTGGGGGTGCATGCATATTTTTGACATTTGCATTTGCAAAGGTATGAGCCCAAACAACTTGGCATTGAAAGTGTGATCACTCTTAACCCTTAAACATCAAATGAGGCTATGAGATTTTATGTTCGTCCAAAAGGACCGTGGATTTTCAAAGGCTGAGAAACACTGATCTGGTCTAACCTTGCCATCTGAGAAAACAGGAAAACCAAACCCGTTGCCACTGAGTCCATTTTGATTCACAGTGACCCCATAGGACAGAGTAGAACTGCCCCATAGGGTCTCCAAGGCTGTAAATCTTTATGGAAGCAAACTGCCACATCTTTCTCCTGGGGAGCCGCTGGTGGGTTCGAACCACTGACCTTTCAGTTAGCAGTCGAGCACTTAACCACTGTACCACAGGGCTCCTCCGAAAAGAGGAACTGGACCTAAAGCAGGAAGAAATCTGCCCAAGGTCCTACAGAGACTGCTGTTTGAGCGGTGTTATGTTCAGGTGCTAAAATGAGATAATTCTTGTGCCCTGGGGTTGTTGGGAGGACACAGAAACATACTTACTCAGAAAGCTTTGATTCAAAATGATGGATGATCTGGGTGGAGAAATGCACTTTCTGTCTGACATTGCTGCCCTCCTCCCTGAAGAAGCAAAGCCTTATGTTAAGGGTCTCCTGGGCCCAGGGAGCTGGGTATGTCATGCAGGCTTGGGGGTGAGGGGAGGCTTCACACTTACAGGACAGCTGTGCCCTGACTTATCAGGTCAGGCAAGGTGAGTTTCTCAAACTGTAAACTGTGAGTTGAAAGCCAATCTTCAGAGTCCTCCCAAGCTGAAGGCTGGGTCTTGCACCCCTGCAGCTTCTGCAAGACAGAAGCCAGAGCAAACAGAAAACTGTGGAAAGAGAGGACAAGGCTGAGGGCGCCCTATGTTCCCTTCACACAGATACTCAAGGGTCGCCAATGCTGAACGAGCTCACCTGTTTTAAGAACTCGCCTTGCTGAGGGAACAGGTGGATGTGGAGACCTGTGGTCTGGGCCAGCTGCCCTGGCAATACCCACTCTCCCCCAGCACACTTCATCCCCACCTGAAGGTACACTATGTGGCTAGACAATTCAAGGTCACTCATCACAGGCCGCCTTGTGGGAAACTGAGTACACAAACAGACAATAGCTAGAACATATATGACAACAGAACTCTGTCCCACAACCTCTGCAGCAACCAGTCCAGGAAGCCAAATGACCACTGTCCTAGAACAGCCAGGACTTGGTCAATGACTGCCAGCTTCCCTATTTTTTTCCTTCTCTTACAACTCAGGATCAACCAGAGAAAGACAAATAAATATGCTCCCCAAACCAATCACATAAGATGCTCCACTTCTAGTTAGCCTACCTCCAGCCTCCCCCTGACAATAACCAGAACATACCTAAAACCGTCCCTTTTGTTCACTACCAAGCTTTCCTGCCTTCAAGCCTCTGCTAAACATGAGTGACGGTGGCCGACTCTCTCTCAGTTTGTCCTCAGTTTGGTGATCTTGGCTTATTCTCACACTTGTGTTCTCTATCTTTACGGGTGTGCGAGTTCTGCATTCCCGTCAGGCCGAGGGATCCTCAACAAACGTTTGTTCACTGACTGGTGGAAGAGGGAATGGGCTTATTCTGTCCATCCCAGAGGCCAGAACTAAGAGCAGTGGGTGAGAGTTGTAGGGGCAGCAGTTGACAGTTTTAGAAGAAGAATTTCCTAGCCATAATAGGAGCCTGGTTGTGGAATAGACGACACTCCCTTGCTTGTACCTAGTGACGGGACTGTCGCTTACGTAGTGCTAAGCTGAAGATATGGGTGGTGGCCTTGGTGGTGGAGCTGAAGTAGGTCATGGCAAGCATTCACTATTGGCTATGCCTTCTGGAAAAGCCAGAAGGTGGAGAGTCCTGATGTGAGGCCCTGCGTCTGCTTTGCCTTGTTCACCTCTTCTGGAGGCTGTCATTTCTTCATTCTTTTTTTCCAGTGGGCATTTCTGAGCCCTTCCTATGAGTCAGGCACTGTCCCTGGTGCTAGGGCTACAATGTGAACAAGAGAGACACTTTCTTGCCTCGTTGGAGTTTACATTCTATTATGGGTAGATGGACAGTAAACTAGAAACTAAATGTACATAACAATTAGAGAAAGGAGCAGCTCTAAAACAAGAAAATAAACGGGAATGTAAGAGAAGCGATGGGGGGTGGGGATGGGGAGGCCACTTTAGGTGGGGTTGGGGTGGGAGACAGCCTCTCTGAGCTGAGATCTGAAGGATGAGAAGGAGCCAGCCCTGTGCATTGCTAGGGAAAGCACAGCCCAGGCAGGGGTGCGGAGGTGGGGAGGGGTTGGAGTATTTGAAGAACAGAAAGGTGGCTGCTGTGGTTGGAGTATAGTGAATAAGGGATAATATGACACAAGAGGAAGCTAGAAAGGGGTGCTTGGCCCGGATCAGGGAGGTATTCTGCAAGAACTTCTGGCACAACCACCATTCTGTTTAGGTGGTAGAGATGGGCCTTAAATGTTGCCTGAGTTGGTCACAACTCACCTAGGGTACAGAATGGCATCATAAGGGGAGGCTGGTTCAGTCCACTGTCTGAGACACCACCCCACAGCATCTGATGACCGTGCAATGCGCTCAAGCACGATTTAACCCATTGGGACCCCAATCCAGATTCAAAGAAGGCTTCACCTATCTCCTAGGGACCTGCTCAAGCCCTAAGTGAGTTTTTCTTGGGCTTGTATTAGTCAGGACTTTCACTGCAGAGGGTGAGGTGGTGGACCAAACCCATTGCTGTCGAGTCAATTCCAACTCATAGCGACCCTACAGGACAGAGTAGAACAGCCTCATAGGGTTTCCAAAGCTGTAATCTTTACGGAAGCAGACTGCCACATCTTCCTCCCACAGAGCGACTGGTAGGTTCGAATCGCTGACCCTTTGGTTAGCAGTCAATCTCTTAACCACTGCACCACCAGGGCTCCTAAGGTGGTGGATAAGGGGTCGAAAAATGTCTGTTGTAGCTGAATGGGCTATAAGGGATAGAGGAAGTGCAGGAAAGAGGGAGGAAGGAGTGAGCGCACTGGGGTCAGTTACTAGCTTTGTGATACTAGAAAGTAACTTTTTTCACCTGTAAAATGGACATTGTAAAGCTATGATATACTAGAACATATCCCTGATTGTTCTTGCATAAACAGTTCTTAGCAGTGATTCATTTCTCCCTCAGGTTTGAGGATAAGTAGACGGTAATCATAAAACAAAGACAATGAAAATAAAATGCTGCTGTTATATTCCAGCTAGATAGTACAGTATGCTTTAAGTTCTATGCCTGAGGCCTGCTCTCTCTGTTACAAACAAAATTGGGAAGTGTTAAAGAAGTGTGAAAACACGCTAATAATTAAAGCAAACGCTTAAACAGCACTTATTATGTATCAAGCACTTCCCATATATTAACTCGTTTACTTTTATAAAGTAGGTTCTACCACTAACCCCTTTTTACCGACAGGGAAACTGAGGCACAGGGAATTTAAGTAACTTGCCCAGGGCCTCACAGCTGGTAAGTGGTGGAGCAGATCCCAAGCAGTATAGCTCAAGTCATGCCTAACCAAGTCAAGTCGTAACCACGACACCGCATTGCCTCTCTAAACCAGCACCAAACTGCGACTTTCTTCATGAAGGACTAAGAGAGAACCAAGGGAAACGGTAACAGCATTCTCATTATGTGATTCTATGCTAATTATTGTCCTGTCTCGAGCAGCTCCACTTAAAACCTTAATACCTGTCCCATACTTAGGAAAACACGGCTCCCTGTCATCTGAACACTAGATGGCACTCTCTTCATCTTTCAGAACTAAACCATCTCCCTGGTTGATTAACACTGAGCATGGTAGACTTTTAATTCACCTTTCTTCCATTTTTCCTGTATTTAAAATGATCTATGATATTTTAAGACATGGATTTTGTATTATTAATATTTGAAGATCCACTGTTAAACCCATTAGAGACTTTGACTGTAGAGCGTACTGAACACACTAAAGTATGTGCCTTACATAGTTTTCATGTGCCTTACATCCACAAAACAACACAAATAAGCTCGTCTGTCAGTGTGTCGCCCTATGATGCTGGAAGTTATGCCACTGGTATTTCAAATACCAGCAGGGTCACCCATGGTGGACAGGTTTCAATGGAGCTTTCAGACTAAGACAGACTAGGAAGAAAGGCCTTGGTAATCTACTTCCAAACATTAGCCAGTGAAAACCCTATGGATCATAGCATATTGTCCAAGACTTCAACTTGCTTACTTTGGATACATCATCAGGGGGGACCCATCACTGGAGAAGGACATCATGTTTGGTAAAACGGAGGGCCAGCGAAGGCAAGGGAAACCCTCAATGAGATGGACTGACACGATGGCTGCAACAATGGGCTGAAACATACCAACGACCATGAAGATGGTGTGGGACTGAGCAATGTTTGTTCTGTTCTGCATAAGGTCACCATGACTTGGAGCTGACGGGACGGCAACTAACAACAGTGTGTCTCACATAGTGGATGGCTCTGTAAGATCTTTGTGTTGGGGCCATCCTTTCCCTCTGTCCCACTGCTGCTCATTTGTGAGGCAAAGGAGGCCCCAGAGAAAGCCGATAAATGTTAAGAGCGGTCCCCATACTCCTGGGCAGTCATGCATTTTGATATGAAATTAGATGAATTGACCCATGTTATCAATGTCTCAAGTCTTTGAGAGATTTCTTTAGAATCTCAAAGCTCCATCGACCTTTCCTCATGTCCTTTATAATTAAACTTGCTTTCTTTTAAGTGCCAAAACTTGAGAAAAGTAAAATGTGGCTATTTTCCTGATTGTTTAATTGCCAGCATTAGAACTGTATTGTTTTTGACCGATTATCATTTCAAAGGTATCATATTTAAACTCTAGTGTAGATTAGGAAGATGGTTATGGGCTAGCCTTGCACCTGACAGCCACCGATGACAACTGTTCCCACGGCAATCGTAAATTTTGAGTTCTAAACAATCCACTCACCATCTTGGGAAGACAGCTCTTTTACACATCGAGTCAGCCTAAAACCACAGTTCCAGTTATTCTAGAGGTTGATTCTTCTGCCATAACCCTGTTGCTCCAATAGCACTCCCTGAAACTGATTTCTGGGTCTAGATTTTAGGAAATTCTAAAAGAAAAGCACACCTCAGGAAGAGGAATTTTAGAATTAAATTCTTTAGACTTCAGGCTTTCGTAATATTGGCAGAATTTTCACATGCTCTTGAATATTTAATGGTGTAGCCAAGAAGGCTGTAAAATTTCTATAAACAGTTAGAGATTCTTCCATCATTTCTAAAGAAGGAGGATTAGAAATGAATGGTAACTAATCTTTTTCAGTCCTGGGATCCTTTGTGAATAAAGGAGTACTCAGAGGGCAACATACCCTACATTCCCTGACGGTGATTTTTAAGCACCGCTTCTCAATGAAAGCACTGTGATCTTTACCAGTAAGTCCTGTGTCTGGTTTACGTGTGTAACCAGTAATCCATTGTCTGGATTTTGGCCAAGTCCACTGATATCCTTCTGGCTCCGTTGCTGCTTTGGATCTCTGTCAGCGTTTCTCCTCATGCTGTAAGACATAAAGTGATTGGATCAATGCCCCAGCACTGAAATTAGACTCCACACTGTGATTGCTTAGATCCCTTAGTATCCTGAAGGAATTCCAGAAGCATTTCTTATTTTGGTGCAGTAACTGGGAAGGATTCTTGTAAAGTTCTGATAAAATATGGACTCCAGGTTCATAAGATATTTTATTATATTGTTCTAGAAGGCAGATAACTAAAGCTCTCAGATAGATATAATGATGTAATGACCATTTATCCACCTAATCTCACATCAAGGCAAAGATTTTCCTTCAATTCCCATGAGCAAAATATTGTTTGTTTTTCATTTGTAAACTCAGAGAAGATGCTTACCAACGATTTTCCAGAAACTTATTATCTTGACCATGGAAAACTTGTCTTGTTTGTGTAGACATTATAAAAAAACTCAAAGCTTATTTTCCTGGGGAGGAAAGAATACCAGAAAAAGAGAAGGATAAATGCAGCATGTAGACAACAGCTTTGAGGGGTATCTATGTTCAGCTCAACTCTTCTTTAATTACTGCATTCGATAAATACTTACGGAACACCCACTAAGGCATCGTGCTAGGTGCTGAGGATACAACGGTGAACAAGCTAACAGAGTTTATCAACCTTGGCAATTTTGTCATTTTGGACCACATAATTCTTTGTTGTGGGGGTTGTCCTGTGTATTGTAAGGTATTTTGCTGCATACCTGGCCTCTACCCACTAGATGCCAATAGCACCCCCTCCCCATTGTGACAACCAAAAATCTCTCCAGACATTATTCAGTGTCCCTTGGAGATAAAATCGTTCCCAGTTGAGGACCACTGGGGTAGACGTTGTCTTTGTCTTGACAGAGCTTACATTCTGGGTGGGGATGTGCAGGGAGAGCTGATATTAAAGAACTAAATAAATTAGAAGTTGTGGTAAGTGCTATGAAAGAAATAAATAAGAAGATATGGTAGAGAGTAATCAGGGAAGTGATCTACTTTTGAGCTTTGATCTTCTTGAAGGATGAAAAGGAGGGGGCATGTTAAGAGTATGGAGAAGTCTAGACTACGCAGAGAGGAAAAGTGTCAAGACCCTGAGGTGGGAAAGAACTTGGCTTCTCCAAGTAACTCACAGAAGACCATCTGGCCAGACCACAGGGATTCCAAGACCAGGATTGAGGGAAGGAAAAAATAATGAGATGAGGTGGTGTTCTTCTGAGTACTGTGTCTGCACTCAAAGGGAAGAGTCCTCACAGCCTACTGGTCACCATTTATTGAATCAGTGGTAGACACGTATCCAAGATGGATCAATCAGACTCTCTCTCTGGGAATTTGAAATTTAAAAGCTGTGAGACCACTATGTGTATTTAGAAGCAGGAAAAGACCGTCAGAGAAAAGTAGAGTGAGTGGTCATTCATTGCCTTGGTTTCCATGAAGCCACTCTCTCCTGGCTCACTCCTCCCTCTCTGCTCCTTCTCAGTTTCCTTTGCTCATCCTCCTCTACCTGAGCATTATAAGTTGGTGTTCCTTGAGGCTAAATCATACACACTCTTCTCACTTCCTACTCTTTCTAGGCAATCTCATCCATGTCCACAGCTTCAATTACCATCTATACACCAATAACTCCTAATTGTACATCAAAAGCCCAGACTTCTAACTCTGACTCTAGGTCTGTGTACTCACTGACAGTGGATATTCCCACCCACTTGGAGCACCTCAACATGTCCAAGACTGAACTCAAGATACTCTCTACAAACCTATCCCTTTTTCATTGTTTTCTAGCTTCAAGAAAAGAACCACTATCCATCTACTTTTATGAGTCAATTTTACCTCTCTCAAATCTCTCCACATATCTCTGTCTCTGCTGACATTTCTCTAGCCCAGACCACCATCATCACGGTAGCATAGACAACTGTAGTAACACCTAACTGGCCTTCCTGCATCCCCACAGTCCTCCCATCCAATCTATTCTTCTCACTGAAGCCAGAGTGATCTTTTAAAAACATAAATACAGTGCCACGCCTCCTCTTCTCCCTCTTGCTTAAAACTGTTCAAAAGCTCCCTTTTATTTCTAGAGTAAAGACCAAGATTCCTAAAATGGCATTTGAGGCTCCACATGGTTTGGCTGCTGCTGCCCACCTCTCTAGCTTTCCCACGTCACCACCCCACTCCCAGTTCCTGGAATGCTATACAATTTCTAAACCCCCCCCAAAAAAAAAACAACCCAGTGGCCACCAAGTCAATTCCATCTTATGGCGGCCCCATGTGCTTCAGAGCAGAACTGTGCTCCACTGGCTGTGATCTTTTGGAAGCAGATCACCAGGCCTTTCTTCTGAGGCACCTCTAGTGGATTCCAACAACCAACCTTCCGGCTTGCACCACCCAGGGACTCTATACGTTCCTACACAGGGCCTTTTCATGTGCTGCTGTCCTTGCTCTGGAACTTTCTTCTCCCCTCTTACCACCCTACTCATCTTTGGCATTTCAACTCAAATGTCACTTCCTCTGGGAACTCTTCTGTAGCATCCCACTCTATTTCAGGTTCCTTTGTGTTATATAAACTTTCATAAAACTGTGCTCCTTTTATCGCAAAGCACTTACCCTAATTTGGAATGGTACATTCATTAGTGTGATTTTTAAAAATTGATATGTCTCTCCCATTAGACTATAAGCTACACGAGAGCAGGGGCTGGTAGACACTCAAATATTTTGAGGAGGGGAGGTAAAAGGAGATAAGGAGGTTGAGAAACTGCCTTGGTTCTTGAATTTCCTATTACTGATTGTAGGCCCTTGTGAGAACTGACTGCACTTTCTGTGTTGGGGTTCTGTGAGATACCCCATTCCTTAGAATTCCCCACCTGTTGGTTACGATAGCTCATTTAGGTTTTTATCACTTGGGAACCAAAAAAAAAAAAAAAAAACTGGCTAAGATACAGCAAGTGAGAACATTCCAGATGAAGTTGCAGCTTGAACATTCAGAGTGTGTGCTCTTGTGAAATCATTAGATTAAATAGCCTAACGATGGCTCAGCAAGTTGCTTTTCTCTTTTGGGTCTTTCATCTTATATTCAGAGGATGCTTTGTTTCCTGGGAAGCACCAAATATGGCAAGATCTTTAAAAAACTGGCTTTACTTTAGTCAGCTTTGCCGGAAAACAAGCACGGCAGGAACTGTTGAAACAGAAATGCTACTAGGAGCCCCACTGTGTCTCAGTTCCTTCTTTTCATTGAGTGAACAACAGCACTTAACGTATTCAGGGGCCACATGGCTAGATTCTGGGGTCCCTTGTGCTGGCTGATGGAGGAGGGGCTGGGCTGCTTAAAACTAGCAAAACAACGAGATGTGCTGGAAAGAGCAGGTCCTTTGGATTCCTTATCTGCAAAATGGATCAGGAAAAGCAGTAACTTGCTTCAATTCCATTGTTAAGAGGATCAAATGAAATTGAGAATGTAAAAGTGCTTTGTAAAATACAGACATGTAAAATACCATAAAAATGTGCTGCATCTTCAAGCACTTCAGCATAAAACACTGCATTCGTTCCATGAATATTCAGAGTGACTATTAGATGCCAGAGGAGCCCTGGTGGTGCAGTGGTTAAGCCTTCTGCTGTTAACCGAAAGGTTGGCAGTTCAAACCCACCAGCAGCTCCTTGGGAGAAAGATGTGGCAGTCTGTTCTGTAAAGAATTACAGCCTTGGAAACTCTATAGGGGCAGTTCTACTCTGTCCTATAGGGTCGCTGTGAGTCAGAATCGACTCGATGGCAATGGGTCTTAGATGCCAGAGAAAGCTGGTACTGGGGAGGCAGAGATGAACAGGACATGGCCTTAACCTCAGGCTGAAATGAAACCTTATTTAGAGAGGTCTGCTTTGGGAATCCTATCTCAAATAGTATTCCCTACACACTGCTTTATTTCTCTCCAAATCATGTTTCACAATCTGACGTTATATGTATTTACTTATTTATTGTCTGTCTCTCCCCCAACTCCCATAAACACACTATAATTAAAATCCATGAGGGCCAGGGCTTAGTTATATTCACTGCTATAGCCTCTTTGCATAAAACAGTGCCTCGAACACGGTAAAGGAGTCCTGGTGGCTCAACAGTTAAGCACTCAGCTGCTAACGGAAAGGTCAGCATTTCAAACCCACCCAGCAGCAGCTCCTTGGGAGAAAGGCCTAGAGATCTACTCCCATAAATATTACAGCCTAGGAAACCCTATGGGGGCAATTCTACTGTTACATGGGGTCCCTATGAGTGAAAATCGATTTGACGGTACCTAACAACAGAACATAAAACATTTGTTGAATAAATGCACTCCAAGCAGGTCCAGAGCTTAGGCAAAGGTGGGCCACGTTACACTGGGGGAGTGATCGGAGGAAGGGAAGAGACGACACAAACTGGCCCGTGGGAGCCATCGTCTTGGTTAAAGGGGGAGAAGGAGCTCTGATTATTGGATAGAAATAAACTTTCAGCTAACTACCTGGCTTCCTAACAGGATTTAGGATTCTTCTAAATAGTTATCCAGGATAAAGCCATCCCCAGGGTTTTTATGTTTAACTGCAAAATAACCTCCAGTCTTGCTCCATCCAATCCATTCTCCATTAGGCTACTAGAATGATTTTTTCTGATACGCACAACTGTTGCTGTTGTTACCTGTCTAGAACCCTGCCTTTGTTCTTCAGTGCCCTAGGATAATCAAGGCAAGATTCTTAGTAAGGCTCATCAATACTTCAGGATCCATGCTGACCTCTCCACCTCATCGCTCATCTTTCTTCTCTCCCTGGCAACCCTTATTTACATATATCTTACTATTTCATATCTCCATGCCTTTGCTCAAGTTGTACCTACTTCTAGGAATGTCTTATGCCCCTTTAGTCTGAAAGAAAACTCCCAGAAGTCTTTTCTGAACCCCACTCACTGCTCCCTACCCCCAAGGAAAAAATAGTTTCCTCTTGTGGGAGTCCTATTGTGGGCCCCATGCCATCACACCAGGTTGTCATGGTCTGTCTCCCCCACCAGCTCCAGTACGTTCTTGTCTACCGTCATACCCCATGCACTTAGCTCAATGCCAGGCATACAGGGAAGAGATGCTTAAGACCCCAGTCTCCCTAAATCTTTCTCACTCAGTCCAGAGCTTAGGGTCTGGGTCTCCACCCCTGTGAACCCTTGTGACACTCACCCTTATCTGCATTTCTCCCTTTATTTCTCATTTTTGGGAGAAGGGCTCCTGGTCATCCCGTGGCCCTTCCTCTTCCGATTCCCACTTCTAGTTCCTCCAAGCAACTGAACAGTGAAGCTTGCCCTGCAGGGAAGTGTTAGCTGGTCTCCAAGGTAACAGACTGCACCACTGCAGCTTAGGGCAGGGAAAAAGAAAAGTCTTCCTCACCTCAGGGAAGAAGTCACCACTTTTTTGTTAATAACAACGTCCCCTCGGGTATTCTGCTGGTCTCCATC